CTGAAACTAAATTGATAGAGTTTACGTGGGACACAAACTATATTCTGGTTGCCGAAACCTGACCAGTTATTTCGTGTACGTTTCAAAACACCATGTAAACACTTACATTCCCACGTCAGTGAAGGAACGGCAGAAAAGCCATTCCCTCGCTTAGAAGCACTTGATACGTCCACAAGTCACTACAATTTTGCATTTTCCATAAATTATAATCGCATATCGTATGAAATGATCCCGGAAACTGCTCGCAATCCACACAGCGTAAAGACCACGACCGTAAATACCGAAGAGAGAGGCAGAAACTGTACAGGCTCATGATGCGGACTAGGCTACATCCAACATATGCATATGGCTTGAGGTTGTCGGCATAACTACGCCTATTAAAACTCATATGTAAGTAGCATATTTAACGTATATGCACTACATAACCTGCTGTTACCACGTTGTCTTATTTGGGGACGCGCACGCTACGTACACAGAGGGTGAGAAAAAACATATTGGTCAGGGGTGTGCACAAGTGCAAAATTTACGCGAGAATCGCAACATGTGGTAAATACAGGGGGGGATTCCTTCCGTCGGGATAACGTTACGAACTGGCCATGCCCTACAAGTGTCCAGAGCGCTGAAATGCTCGCTGGTAGTCTAGCCGACATAACGGCACCCTCTCCCACACTCCAGACTGATCATTCACACATGTAATAGTAGTTCCCTTGCCTTATGACACCCTTTCACGTGTTAGCATATTCATCGCGAGTACTATATTTTTTTGTATATCCCTACTCTTTTTCTCACAATATCCGCATGTATGTGTCTACTGTAGTGTTCAGTGCTTCTGTAGTCAGAAAGTAACCCTAAGTATTTTACTTAATCGTGTGTGTCATCCCAAAGTTTGTGGTTGTCACAATTTAACGTCTGCCTTCTCTTAAACTGTCTCAAAAGCCTATCCGAATAACAACGGTTACTAAAATGTCTAGACAGACACTCACCGGCACACGTCGTAGATGGCCTCATTGTCGATCATGAAGGCACAGTCCGAATGTTCCAATGTGGAGTGCGTACAAAGTATAGAATTGTAAGGCTCGACAACGGCAGTTGAGATTTGTGGTGCTGGATAGATTGCAAACTCCAGTTTGGACTTCTTTCCGTAGTCCACACTGAGGCGTTCCATCAGGAGCGAAGTGAAACCGGAGCCGGTTCCTCCACCGAAGGAGTGGAAGATGACGAAGCCTTGCATGCCAGTGCATTGGTCAGCCAATTTTCGGATTCTGTCCAAAACCAGATCTATCATCTCTTTGCCAATTGTATAGTGACCGCGGGCATAGTTGTTTGCAGCATCCTCTTTTCCACTGATGAGTTGTTCTGGATGGAACAGCTGCCGATAGGTGCCAGTTCTGACTTCGTCTTTTGTTAAAAGGTAAAAGTTAGTTGTGTTGATTATCTTAATCTAGTATTATCACTTCTGAAAATTGAAACTTAGTATGTTCTTAACGGGACTTTGTGGTTTCTAAAAATATAACGCTTTCGAATCATTTACCTATGTTCTAAGTTCATCGCAACTCTTAACTAATTCGTTGCTACTGTACAAATAAAAACATATTTCAGGGATGTTCCTAAAGGGTCCATTTATTAATAAGGTGAAAATCTGTCAGAAATGTCACTGGGATAAAAGCATAACAGTGTCGTTTACTTCCTAATTCCTGTTTAATCTTTGCACAACATAAGGTAGAACTTCCATAGAAACAGGCTAAAAAACATCCTCGCCAGCCACTTCAGACTGATGGTAGTCAAATTGGCCATCCTTTAATGAGCATACTTTCTACTCACCCACTACTGTTGGTTCCAGATCCATCAACACGGCTCTGGGAACGTGTTTTCCAGCTCCGGTTTCGCTGAAAAATGTCTGAAAGGAGTCGTCTCCACCTCCAACGGTTTTATCACTTGGCATTTGTCCATCAGGTTGAATTCCATGCTCCAGACAATAGAGTTCCCAGCAAGCATTGCCGATCTGCACTCCGCCTTGGCCAGTGTGTACGCTAATGACTTCACGCTAAAAAGATTTGAAAGTATACTTTGAGCACCAACTACGAGGAAAAAGGAAAAAAACATCGGCTGAGACCTACCATTTGTGTGCCTTGTGATTGCTGCGGTTTTCGGAGTTCCGCCCAGAGTCAGGAACCTACGAACTTAGACTTCTGACTGCTGTTCGATTTTAAACTGCAGTAAAATCAATACGATTTAATTTTGACTTGCACCGTCACCAATCAATACGTGGTTGAGAGCTGCTTGGGGCAAAGCAAAAAAAGTAGATAGGATGGGCGGCCAGTAAACATCCCACTTACATATCATAATTTTAAAAAAGTAACAATTCACACCTGTGGCAGTCTTAGTGCTAAAATTATTTTGAAAGGCCGTAGCCCTTCTACTTCATATTTATGCCTTGCAATTTGTCTTTCCAAGTGGACGCGCGATGTAAAAAATTAGCTCGCAGTCAATAAGCACTAGGTCTTATTTGAAACTGAATGGTAATATTGATATTTAGGGAAAAAATGGGGTCGTCCACGAAACAGAAATGAACTCAAAGCGACGCGCTCAAACATTGCCGAAAAAAGCCAGATCACACAGAATTTGAAGGGAGAAAAATAAATAGAAATAAGGGGTGTTGGGTTGGCGGAGTCCAACATTTCTTGCAAACCACGGAAATTTAAAATGTTGTATGCTTTATCATTTTTCCGATATTCATATTTGCCGCGGAAATTAACTGATGACATTCTGTTCAGCGATTCACTAAAATAATTGGGTTAGAGAAAGTTGTCGTGTAATTCCCTGCAACAGCTTCTGTGGTAGATTTTATTGACCAACACGGGGGGCAGTTCAGGGCACGACAAACATTACTGTCCCCCTTAACACATTCCACACCTGGGAGAAGGTATGGGGGCACTCCTAGGCACAGGATCATGCTGCGCCAGCCACCGGTGCAAGATCCGGCAGCTGGTCTACTTGGCTCTGTCTTGACATAGCACATCCAATTAATCAACTTACAAATCACCGTCCCAACATCCACCCTGCTGTGGGGTACACAGTAGGCATCGTCAGAATCGACGGTCGAACTGTCGTTATGGACGTGAAGGACTATTACTGAGGGGGGGTTAAATTGTTTTCTTCTGTGTTTGTTCCTTGATTCTCTTCTATCAAAGAATATTTTATATTTCCGATTACTTAAGCGACTTTATTAGAGACCTTGCAAGTTCCCCTGGAACCCAATTTAAACATATTGAAAGCTTATTCATGGGAAAATTTAAAACCTCTGCCATATCCGGCTTCCATGGTCATCCGAGAAATTTGTGGACGTACACTGATGAGATCTTCCTCGTGACAAAAAAGTTGCTTCATACAAAAATTCATAATATTTATACATCTCATGTAGAAATCACAAAGTGCACAGGTGACCTGCCCTTCCTAGATTACATACTCGAACGGTCTATAGATGAACATATTTCTCATACGGCCTAATGTGATCCGACCAATACTGGACGCCGCCTAAACTTGAATTTCGACTACCTGGCAGTTATCAAAGGTTATATTTTTATCCGTTATAAGCAGAGTGGACTTGCTGTGTCCCACAGAAGATGCAAATTCTTTTTTAAATAACGTTCATACTTTTACTAATTATGTAATTTAACTATCATCCTATAAAATGCTCGACCCCTTTCCTGGCTCATGAAGGGCTTATTTCTTTCCTTAAGATCAGTGTTCTCAGCGCAGTTACTTGGGTGACCAGCAGCCCAAACTAAGAGTACTTCAGATAACGAGCGAGCCACTCGCAGAAATTTTGTTTCGATCGAAATGCTTCTTCATAGTTAACAAGTTGTCAGTGTGTGTGTGTGTTTTTATGCCTGTGTCTGGCGAAGCGGAAGCGAAGAGCCGAGCGAAAGCTACAGCGACAGCGAAGAGCGAAGCGAAAGTTCGATAAAAAGAACGAAAGAACAAGAACTCAGCTTACCTTGCAGCGTGTGGTGTGGCTGTCTGCGGGCCGAGAGTCAGATTGAATGGCTCCTTCTTTATGTGGCATTTATGGCGCTCCCTGTTGGGAGCATACCTAGCGAGACGTGCTGTTTGGTACGCGCGTTGAGTGTTTGTCGCGCCAGCCGTCTGCGCCCTCCCACATTATTTTTTCCGGCCTTCTTGACTCCGTCTTGACAACCGGAATTAGGTGCGGTTGTGGTCAGAGAGTGGGGTAGACCCGGCGAGCTTGCCTTTACTGTGCTTTCGTCACAATCGCCGCATGCTTCAACTCGTTGAAGCTCGCAGTGAAATCCTTCGAAATTGACGGTCGAACTATCGTTTCCGGCGTTGAGTCTTGCTCCCAGGGCATGGGTTCTCGGTCACCTGCAGCCAGTCAGTGAGTGAATACAGTTTAATTGGCTACGTTTTGCAAGATGAACGTTTCCATGAAGAGCTCGGTGCCGGAACGTATTAAACTCATTAGCCGAGGTTCCATTGTACTGTTTATTAATCGCGTTCGTTTTAACCAAATTTCACGTCATTCCTCAATTGTCAAGTTCAGTTGTCACGAGACCTTTTTAAGACATGGAAGGAAAATATCACATTCTATAGAAACAACGTAAACAGAAAGACTTACAATTACATTCTGAATGTCTGGTCTTTTTCTTCGTTGGACACAAACGTTTTCAGCAGACATGTTTGGGTTAGGGAGGGATTATCGGAACATGGTTGAATGCTGCCTGGCGTCAGTGTTTTTTGGGTTTTTGTGTCCCAATTGTAGACCAGGCAGAGTTTTTTCCTGTTTTTTTTGGTTCGAAGTGAGCCGGCTTTCTAATATAAATCCTACCTAGTTTGGGCCGCGCAATATGCTCATGCTTTGCTTACAGACACGCAGTCGCTATGAAAAGACTGAACATGAAGCGTATTTTCGGAAGTTTCGAGTATTTCAGACTGTAGACATTGCGCTAAAGTCGTTAACAGTAGAACACGAAACTGTGTAGTCGGCCACTTTGCACTCACCAAACGATTGAGATATGGGCATTCTGGAATGGTGTAACATTACAGATGCATCTGTCCCTATGCAATAATGGTTGTGCTCGTTAATGAACGCTCACCGATCGCTAACTTAACTCACTCGTCCTGTTCTACCTTGGGGCTCATTTGATGATTGAGTCCAGTCACACTAGAAGTTGCGAGTTCAGATCAAGTAGGAAAGTCACCAATATCGCAGGGGGTTAAGCTACTGAGGAAAATCCTAGCAGCTGCGATCTTCAAGCCCGGTTCCTTGTGGGAAGAAAGAATAAGTGGAAGGTAGGAACGGTAGGAATAGTTTATTCTGTACGGAAGAAATGGAGAATAGGTAAGAGGAATTTGACCGTCAGACGACCGCGCAACCGTAGGCCAACGGGCTGTGTTTGAAGTGTCTTAGCCTGACAGTTGTCCTTGCAGTCAGAGCGGTATTTTCCTCAATCAGCCTTGAGGGTGATTGGCCAGACTGGGGACGAACGGTGCGCACGTTAGCCAGCAGTTTGCGTCTGGCCCCAGAGGGAGGCCGAGAACTGCAATTACGTGAGCGTCTGTGCGGAGTGAGTCACTATACATTCTCGAGCCCCGCCAGCAGCTGCGCAGCGGCTAGTACTTTTAGCAGATTACCAATGCCGGCAAAGACGGAGGAGACTGGAATTAACATATCTGGTTCAGTAGCCATAACTAGCCAGTCACACCCAACCCCAAATGATGCACCACCCGAGACTCGAACCCGTGACCATTTGATCAGAAGTCTAGTAAGTGCTAGTAAGTTCCGTGAGCTCCACTGCTCATCGATTCGATCGGGTGGTATATGTGCTGGACCCACACGGGGGCCAGATGGGGATTACTGAGGATACGCCCCCATAACAAATGCCCCATATGGGGGAGGTGGTACGCATAGGCACAAGCTCGCGCTGCGCCAGCCACCTGCGCCCGATCTCGCCTAGAGTCTTCTTGACTTTGTCATGATATCAAGCCCAGGTGGGGGAGGGAAGGGAGAGTGCGG